TGTGAAGAATGTCATTAGTATTTTGATGGGGATGGCATTGAATCTGTAGATCACTTTGGGTAGTGTAGACATTTTCACAATGTTAATTCTTCCAATCCAAGAGCATGGAATATCTTTCCATCTTTTTGTGTCTTCTTTAATTTCTTTCAGAAGTGGTTTGTAATTCTCATAATAGAGGTCTTTCACCTCCTTGGTTAAATTGAGCCCTAAGTATCGTAATATTTTGGTGACAATTGTAAGTGGGCTTACTTTCTTTATTTCTCTTTCTGTTAATTCATTATTTGAGTATATAAATGCTACTGACTTGGGGCATTTATTTTGTATCCTGCAATGTTTCTGAAGTTGTTAACCAGCTCTAGGAGTTTTTTGGTAAAGTCTTTAGGTTTTCCTATATATAGTATCATGTCACCTACAAATAGGGAAAGGTTGGCTTCATCTTTTGCAATCTGAATTCCCTTTATTTCTTTCTCTTGCTTGATTGCTCTAGCTAGTACCTCCAGTACTATGTTGAATAGAAGTGGTGAGAGTGGACATCCTTGTCTTGTTCCTGCCATTAAGGGGAAGGCCTTCAATTTTTCCCCATTCAGAATAATACTGGCAGTGGGCTTGTCATAAATTGCTCTTATTGTGTTGAGATATTTTCCTTCTATACCTAATTTGTTGAGAGTCTTTATCATGAAGTAATGTTGAATTTGGTCAACTACTATTTTAGCATCCGTTGAGATAATCATATGGTCTTTGTCCTTGAGCTTGTTGATGTGATATATCACATTTATTGACTTTCATATGTTGAACCGTCCTTGCATACCTGGGATGAATCCCACTTGATCATAGTGTATAATTTTTTAAATATGTTGCTGTATTATGATTGCTAATATTTTGTTGAGGGTTTGGGCATTTAGGTCCATCAAGGATATTGGCCTGTAATTTTCTTTTTTTGTTGTGTCTTTATCTGGTTTTGGCATCAGAGTTATGTTGGCCTCATAGTATGAGTTTGGGAGAATTGGAATAGTTTGAGGAGAATTGGTATTAACTCCTCTTTAAAAGTTTGATAGAATTCAGCTGTAAAGCCATCCAGGCCTGGACTTTTTTTTTCTTGGAAGATTGCTAATTACTGCTTCAATCTCCTTGCTTGTTATTGGTTTTCTATCTGTTTAGGTTTTCTATCTCTTCTTGGTTCAGACTTGGTAATTTATATGTGTCTAGAAACTTATCCGTATCTTCCAGATTTACATATTTGTTGTCATACAGTTGTTTATAATAGTCTCTAATGATTCTTTGTATTTCTGTGGTATCAGTTGTAATGTCTCCCTTTTCATTTCTATTTTTTTGTTACTTGGGTCTTCTCTCTCCTTTTTCTTGTTAATCTAGCTAATGGTGTGTCTATTTTGTTTATCTTCTCAAAAAACCAACTTTTAGTTTTGTTGATCTTTTCTATTATTTTTTGGGTCTCCATTTCATTTAGTTCTGCTCTGATCTTAATTATTTCTTTCCATCTACTGCCTTTAGGCTTGGATTGTTGTTGTTTTTTCAAGTTCTTTGAGGCATAGTGTTAGGTCAGTTTATTTGAAGTCTTTCCATTTTTTGATATAAACATTTACTGCAATAAATTTGTCTCTTAGTACTGCTTTTGGAGTATCCCAGAGGTTTTGGTATGATGTATCTTTATTTTCATTAGTTTCTAGGAATTTTTTGATTTCCTGTTTAATTTCTTCTTAGACCCATAGTTCATTCAGGAGCCTATTATTTATTTTCCATGTGTTTGTATAGCTTCCAGCATTTTGATTATTGTTTATTTCTAGTTTTAGTCCATTGTGGTCTGAAAAGATTGTTGGAATGATTTCAATTTTTAAAAAATTTTCTGAGACTAGATTTGTGAGCTGATATGTGGTCTATCCTGGAGAATGTACCATGAGCTGATGAGAAGAAAGTGTATTCTTTAGCTGTTGGGTGAAATGTTCTGTATATGTCTGCCAAGTCCAGTTGGCCTACTGTGTAGATTAAATCCTGTGTCTCTTTGTTGACTTGTTGTCTGGAATTCCTGTCCCATACTGAGAGAGGGGTGTTCAGATCACCCACTATTAATGTATTAGGTCCTATCTCCTTCTTTAGGTCTAAGAGCATTTGCTTGATATTTCTGGGTGCTCCAGTATTGGGTGAATACATGTTTATGACTGTTATGTTTTCTACTGGATAGTTCCCTTTATCATTATATAATGGCCTTCTTTGTCTTTTTAAATGTTGTTTGGTTTAAAGTCTATTTAGTCCAATATAAGAATAGCTACTCCTCATTTTTGGTTTCCATTTGCATGGTATATCTTTTTCCATCCCTTCACTTTTAGTCTATGTGTGTCTTTACAGGTGAGGTGGGTCTTTTGAAGACAGCATATACTTGGGTCTAGCTTTTTAATCCAGTCTGTTAGTCTGTGTCTTTTGAATGGGGAGTTTAGTCCATTCACATTTAGAGTAGTTATTGAAAAGTGTTACTTAATTTCTGTCATTTAATCGCTACTTGTTTATTTGGTTTAAATATCTTTTGATCATTATTTCCCCTTTTATTTCTCTTCTTCAATGTTAGTTGGGAGTTTAAGGCAAAATGAATTAGCTTCTTTCTCTTTCTTGCTGGCATTTTTGTTTTAACTGTGGGTTTTACTCTTTCTTGTGTATTTGTGATGGTGGTCAGCATTATTCAGATTCCAGATGAATGACTCCCTTGAGAATTTCTTGGAGGACTGGTCATGTGGTGGTAAACTCCCACAACTTTTGTTTGTCTGAGAAAAACACTATTTCTCCCTCATTTCTGAAGGAGAGCCTTGCTGGGTAAAGAATTCTTGGCTGGCAGATTTTTTCTTTTTGTATTTTGAATATATCATTCTACTTTCTTCTGGCCTGTAGGGTTACAGTTGAGAAGTCTGCTGTTAGTTTGATGGGGGCTCCCCTAAAAGGGATCTGATGCTTTTCTCTTGCTGCTTGTAGAATTCTCTCTTTGTCTTTGAGCTTTGCAAATTTAACTATAATATGTCTTGGGGAGGATCTTTTTGGGTTGAATCTGTTTGTGGACCTTTGAGCTTCCTAGATCTGAAGGTCTGTATGTCACTCTACACCTGGGAAGTTTTCTGTTACTATTTCCTTGAGTAGGTTTTCAATACTTTTTCCTTTCTTCTCTCCTTCAGGAATACCCACCATTCAGATGTTAGAGCACTTAAGGTTGTCTGCTATCTCTCTTAGGTTTTCCTCATTATTTTTAATTCTTTTTTCCTATTCTTTTGTCTGCCCGAGTTATTTCAAAAAGACCATCTTCAAGCTCTGAAATTCTTTTCTCTGCTTGCTTTACCCTGCTACTCAAGCTCTCAGTTGTGTTTTTTATTTCTTTGAGTGAGTTTTCATTTCTAGAAGTTCTGCTGCACTCTTTTTTAAGGTATTAGTCTCTTTGTAGATTTTCTCCTTTATATTCTGTATGTTTTTTCTTGTTTCATTGTGTTCTACAATTGAGTCTTCTTTTATTTCTTCAGGTTTTCTTAAGATCATTGCTTGAAATTCTTTTTCAGACATTTCAAGGATTCCCTGTTTCATGGAGTCTGAGCATTACTGTATCCTTTTGGTGGTGTCATTTCTTCTTCACTGTACTTCTAGTATTTTTTCGCTAATGCTTGGTCATTTGGTAGGAGGTTTTCTTCTTCTATTACACTGAGGTTGGCTGTGGAGTGGCCCTGGATGCTACTGTGGGGGATGACTTGTCTTTGCTTGATAATAGGTGTGGTGGTGGTTATGTTAAACCACCTTGGGTTCTGTTTGAGACTCTGTGGTTGTAGAATGAGACCCTAGCACAGTAGAATTCTGCAGGGCTAAACTTGGTGGGTCAGATCCATAGCCTGGTGCTCCCCCCTGGGTCTGAGGCAGGAGAGGAGCTGCATCCTGCACTGTGCTGGTTTGGGGCCTGGCCTGTGATATCTTTTGTTACACAGCAATCATTCATTTTCATGCATGTTTACCTTTTTTGTCTTCTAGTTTGTGCTTTTGAGGTTTTAAGAATTCCTACTCTTATGTCACAAAATGTCTCATGTTATCTTTTTTAACTTTATAGTTTTGTCTTTTACATATAAGAAAAGACTCCACCCTGTATATGAAACAGACAAGTATCTAGTTCTTTCTGTTTTCACATTGGCAGTTGTCTGAACACCTTTCACCAAAGTATCTAGTCATTGCCCAGGGGTGTGTGGACCTTCCTTTACCAGATGCTAAATTTTCACCTGTTCACCTGCCTGACTCCGAGCTCTGTACTCATCCATGGCTCACTCTGTTATTTATTTATGTTTTTGTTGTTCTCGTCACAGGACAACAGTTTTTTAAAAAGTTATTATATTTTATTTCTATTGCTATGCCTTCGTTTTAGTCTTAATACCCAGTAGATTGGGTTCCCCTTCTTCAGTCTTTTATTTTTAAATAGCCTTAGCTTTTGACAGACTTTGACTCTTCCAGTTAGAATCAGATTGCCAACTCCTAAAAAAAGTCCAGCTAGACTTTTATTGGATTGCATTGAATATATTTATTAATTTAGAATGAATTGACACCTTTACAATATTAGGTCATCCTGCTCTAGAGTGTGGAGGGGATCTTGTTTATCCAAATAACCTTATAAGCCCTTTATGGATATTTTTTCCTGCTTTGGTTAGCTTATTACATAATTTTTAAAACATATTTATTCAAGATTATTGACACTTTTAAGGATACCTTCTGAGTGTTGTATTTTGCTCAGAAATCATTCTAAAATATGTTTTCTTCTACTTCTTTTGTGACTATGGTTTTCTAGTGCTTAAACCTTTGATCCATCTGGAATTAATCTTGTTATAGGACTGAAGGTTAGAGGAAGGTATGGAGAGGGGCAGACGCAGTATCAGTAGGCTCAGGCAGTCTTTGATTTTGCTCCCTGGATAATTGCCGTGTGTGTGTGTGTGTGTGTGTGTGTGTGTGTGTGTGTGTGTGTGTGTGTGTTTCCTTAGGGACGACCTGGCCCAGCTGCCCTTCCTGACTATGTGCATCAAGGAGAGTCTGCGCCTGCATCCGCCAGCTCCAATGATCTCCCGCTGCTGTACCCAGGACGTTGAGCTCCCAGATGGCCGAGTCATCCCCAAAGGTGCCCACAGTGGCGGGGGGATGAGGCTCCTGGGCAGAGTGGTGGCTCCATCAGGCAGCGCGAACCTCGTCCTGACTGTTCCCTCCTCCCCAACAGGAAACGTTTGTTGCATCAGCATCTTCGGGATTCATCACAACCCGTCAGTCTGGCCGGACCCTGAGGTGCCGCCCCTCCCCCTTCTCCGTCCCAGGGACCTGGCGAGGGGGAGGGGTCCTGATCGGGGAAATCAGACACTCCCTGTCACTGTACCCACAGCTGTCTTTCCTGGGGGTGGCTGGGCGTCCTGAGAGACCTCACCCAGCAGCCCCGTCTTGCCCCAATCCCAGGTCTATGACCCCTTCCGCTTCGACCCAGAAAAGATCCAGAAGAGATCACCTTTGGCTTTTATTCCCTTCTCGGCGGGGCCCAGGTGAGGCCAGCGAGCTTCTGGGCGGGGATGGGGTGGTGGAGGTGGGGGTCTGGGCACGACAGTGGAGAAAGGCCTGGGGAGGGGGTGGAGTTGTAGATGGTCAGAGTTCCAGCTCTCCTTCCCTCCCATCCTCCAGAGGTTATGGGTAAAGTTCTGGGGATGGAGTTTGGTTGGGTAAGTCCAGGAGGGGTCTGTGGTGTGCTCCACGCCCCCACCCCATATCTGCTATTCTGAGTTGGGGGTTGGATTCTGGGCCCGGCTCAGGGGATACACAAGTCCACAAGGGGGCCCAGGCACAGTTAACCCCCCTCTGTGCCCCTCAGGGTGAGCAGGGTGGGGGTGGGGGTCCTAGTCCAGGTTTCAGGTACAGTGGGGCCCAGGGGGGGTCCTTGATGCAATCAGAGCCCCCTCCTGCCCCCAGGAACTGCATCGGGCAGACGTTCGCCATGGCCGAGATGAAGGTGGCCCTGGCGCTCACGCTTCTGAGCTTCCGAGTCCTGCCCGACGACGAGGATCCTCGCAGGAAGTCAGAGCTGATCCTGCGTGCGGAGGGCGGACTCTGGCTGAGGGTGGAGCCGCTGAGCGCGGGCCCGCAGTGATGCACCCACCGCCGCCTGGCCTGGGAACCCACACCGAGCCCACCCACCAACTTTTGCAGATTCTCGAGAATAAAATATGCTGTTACCTGTGCGCAAGCCTCACCCAGAGCCAGTAGGGGGCGCCGGGGGCCTGCGGGTATCCAGGGGTGGGCGTGGATGGGTGGAAGCCACGCCGGTGTCTCTGAGCCCAAGACCCCCATTGTCTTTCTGGCTGACCACGGGGCCTCAACGCAGATTTCTCCTAGGCCTGGACTTGATTATTACACATTATATACATGTATTCAAATATTACATGGTGCCCCCCAAATATGTATAATGATGTGTCAGTCAAAAAAATGATAATAAAATAAAAAACCTGCCTTTATGAAACTTACATTTTAGTTGAGGTAGCCAGACATTAAATATTTGCAAGACAAAAAAAAAAAAAAAAAAAAAAACCACCTTTTTTAAAAAAAATTTTTTTTTTGTGGAGGCAGCCAAAAAAAAATTTTTAAAAAAAAAAAAAAAAAAAAAAAAAACCCAGACATTAAATGAACTAGTTTCGTAACATATAGTATAATGGATGGTGATCAGTGCTATGGATGAAAATAAAGCAGAGAGGGAAATAGGTAGTTCTGCTGGTAGAGAGGGAGGTTGTAATTTTAAATTTGAGAAGGCGACATTTGAGTTGACATTTGAAAGGAGTGGGGAAAGCTCATTCCAACAGAGTAAACAGTCTGTCAAATGAACAGAATTGACAGATTTGAAATGAATAGAAAAAAATTGTTAAAGTTATTTTTTTAGTTTGGTAAGAATTAAGTGGAAAGTACAAGGAATTTCAGCAGATAAATGGAAATTCTGGAAAGAAGGGAAGTGGAAATGATAGAAATAAAAAATACAGCATCTAAAATGAAGAATGTATAGAATAGGATTGACGGCATACTTGGAACACCAGAAGAAAGGATTAATGAACTCAAATTATCCAAATTGAAGTTAAGGTGTTCTTTGGACTACTATAGAATCATATTCTTTTTTAGTGCACTTGGAAATTTCACTAAGATAGACCTTTTGCTGAATTATTAACAAGTCACAACAAATTTTGGAGAACTATAACCATAGGGGGTGTGTAATCTGACCAAAATGGAATTAATCCAGAAAGTCAATTAGAAAATGTAACTGGAAAGTCCTTGAATATTTGGAAATTAAAAAATGTATTAGTAATGTATGGACCAAAGAATACATTTCAATGGAAATTAAAAATTGGGAGGATTAAACAATAAAGAAAATACAGTATATCAAAATTTGTGGCATACACCCAAAATAGAGATGGGAAGATCTATTAAATTAATAAATAGAAGCAGCCCTGCCCACCAAGTGATAGCTCCAGCATGCTGGCCACCTCGCCAGCAGCAGCACTCCCTGCTGCTGCCACAGACACTGGTGCTGTGTGAGTGGTCTGTGACAGCCACCACTACAGTAACTGCTGCCACAAGAACAGCTCACGGCCACACTAGCAGCCACTATCACCTTGTAGGTGGTCCACTACCACTCACTGGCATAGATGGAAGGAGAATCACCAGTGGAGCCCAGGGTAAGAGGTGAGTGAGCACAGACCTATGACCCAGTGGCCCAACCCACAGGAGAATAATGAGCCATACATGGTAGCAAACCTGGGGATGAGAGGTTTGTGCACAGCCACATCTGGGGAGAGATGCATGTGGGACCCACTGAGAGTACAGAAACCCAGGGTACCCAAATAGAGTAAAGAAGAAAATTCACAATCAACACCAACCCATCCTCCAACCAGGGGAAGCAAGGTCCCAGGAGGAGCATCTGCCTGTAGGAAAGAGAGAAGAGAAAACCCACCCAGGGTCACCAATTCAAATTGAGGAGCACCAGTATGTGGTCATCAGGATCATGGGTGCCAACAGACACACCCAAGGCCACCCAGTATGGCTAAAGTATGACAGGGCATCAAGGTGCTTCCCACAAGAACTCGAGAGCTTGCCCATGTCCTGGACAAACCAACATAGTGCCACCAACCTCAGCAAGAAATCACTAAGTGCCCCAGGGATTAGGCCACAGAGGCACTCACACGCAATTCCAACATTGAGTTTGACCAAACTACCTACATGGAGACAACACTACTGCATCCATTTGGAACCAATACTAACACACCGCACTCAGTGGTCAACATAAAACACATCTACAAGAGGAACTCTCTCTCTGCAAAGCCCACTCTGCAGTACTAGAAAAAGCAACTGCTCTACCAGATGACTAGATACCAATGTAGAGATACTAGAAATATAATAAAAACAAGAAAATATGACACCACCAAAGTAATATAATAATTCTCAAGTACCAGACTCTATAGAGCAGGAAGTCCTTGAAATGACTGAAAAGGAATTTTGAGCAACAATCTTAAGGAAACTCAATG